TCACTATTTGTATTATGGACATGCAGCTATCTACAAAGTAAGAAAATAATATAATTTTCTGATTAAAACAGCCGCATGCATATGTAATTCGAGTCGTAACTTTTCGGCCATTACCATCATTCCACAGAAAATGCAATTTGTTTGACGTTAAAATTCACTTTAATCGGACTATATAAGGACCTCGCAGTAAGAAAACACAGAACAGATACGTTATTTCGATCTAACCTACGCCATAAAATCAAAACATGTTAACAAACAGAATTCAAATTTTGAGATTTGTTAGTTTATGTACATTACTTAAACTAGAAGTAAATTTATTGATATAAATATATTATTTATATTCAAACTATATTTAAAAAAACGGATTTGGCTATAATTGGTTGACACTAAACATTGTTTAATTGATTCTGATTGTCGGACATATCTTCATTCATAGTTTAATCGACATTCGATCTATTTTATGTAAAATAAATACATTCGTTACTTATTATACAGAAATTACACCGTTTGTTTTTGTTTACATCTGAAGCTGCATGGTAGAACTACTTTCACTTCGTAATAACTCCGAGATTATTATGAATAAAAGTCGATGTGTTCCGACCGATGTTTTGCTAGTCACGGCGGATTTTTTTTTATGTATTTGAACGTCATTGGTAGGCGGAATTTGATTGGCTACTTGTATTTCAACTGTGAGAATGTATATCGGGTGATATTTCAACTGTAAGAATGAATGTCGGGGGACACTCGTGCAATATAGATATCATTACAGGTGTGTGTGCACGTCCATCATTTACCAAACATTACGACTTTTATTGGCCCACCTACAAACTCTATACTGTCTGTCCATTTATCAAAACATATTATAAAAATGAAGTACCCGTTTGTCAGTCAAAATACACATGAGTCACTTGTTATGTAGGATTTTTCTTTTTATGATCATAGTTTCTTTTCAGAGCAAAAATTGCAATTTCTAACAACCAATCCCTGCTTGAAATACTTCTATTTCCGGTTACAAAATTATGTGTATCTGGCGCAGATACTCAATTCTTTATTATATAATTGTATTGTTTATTAAAAATTTACTCCGTGCATATATATATACCGATTATATCGTCGATTACTCACGGTTGTATTCGATAAATTCACCATGGGTAACCGACGATAATGTATATGATATATTTAAGATATACTATGCTCATCCTTCAGCATTCTTACTGAATAAGTCTAATTCGAATAAAAGAATGAATAAACTATGTATTCGTTCCCTATTACGGGTCAAGCAAAGTTGTTGTTTTTTCTTAAACAACAACAACAACGACGACAACAACAAAAATGAATATTTTTAATGAAATTATATATTCATATTGTGCCCACCTAAACATTACATATCTACTTCCTGTGAAGTCAAAACATGTTTATTTATCAAATTTGAGCATCTTTAAATAAACAGAAATAAACCAAGATAAAACTTGATACAGCTTTTTGGAACCTTTCCGTCATATCCCGGTAATAATAAGAGGATATTTTTTCGTTTGAGTTAAATATGACATATATTTTCACGAAACATAATAAAATGCCATAGATTTTCACAAGCCGGCGAGTGAAAATGTGTGGCATTTTATCATGTTGAGTGAAAATATATACATCATACATGTATGAGTTTTGACTCAGCCGATTTTCATATTTATATTTCATATTTATTTTTGAAAAATATGAAATATATTTGACTGATATAGTACCATTTTTCATGGGTAAAATTAAAGGGACTCCACTGAGGTTTTTTGACATGATGGAACTAAAAATATTTTTTCCAGATAAATGTACCATTTGATGTAGGGTTAGACCACTAATCTATGTGCAAAATTTCAGATCATTCGCGATCTTCGTTTTTCCAGAATAATTATTCAAATTCTAAAAAAATGACCCAAAATGAAAAACGTTTAAACACTTTTAACTCAAATCGGGCTAAGAAAAACATAAAAATACGATTTCAATTTATTTCAAAGTATATTTCTTAACTATCTTTGCATATATTTCTGTATAAAGTGCCCCAGCTCATTTATGTAAGGAATTCAAATATAATGTTTATAGGCTTTTAAACCTCAATGGAGTCCCTTTAAATAATCGTTAATATACGGTAAAAGAGTCCGATTGGTTAAAATTAGCGGGAAAGAAACAGGAAATGCTGCTCAGAGTACTCGTAACCGCCACATTTTGCGCTTCATTAAAACAAACACGATTTTGTTACAGCTATTTTTTTAAATACTGCGGCATATTATTATTAATATAAATATTATATGTCACATCAAAACATGGCCATTCATTAATTAATTTCGTCACCGCAAATTAGATCCAAACAGCTGCGGTTTGATTTGTCGGTCAGATAACAATAAAAAAGTAGATTTACACAGGAAGCAACAAGTAAAAAATAATTCTTTTGTTAATTTAAATTATTTAACAGCCTAACATGTCGTCTGCTGTCAGATAAATGTGAAAATAACTTACATTTACTTGTTTGATTTACATGGTCGTAATTTGATTTCGTGTTTACGTCACACCGACCAAATAAAGGTCGTATAATAATGAATCCTGCATTAAGAGCAAACCGCCATGTCGTTGAATACGGAAACAAGGAATATTATTCTTGCCATTAATACATTTTCTTTAGGTGCAGTACAAAGTTTAGGCGGGTTTCCAAGATTTTATTTTTACTAAAGGAGTTTGCACAATCTTGTTAGAATTTACTCATATTCCAAAGGCCTGTTGACACTTTACGACAATGTAGTTTAAAAAGAGGGAGTAAAGAGACATCAAAATTTGCTGTCCTTCACTAGCTCTGTGTGATTCTATCAAAAAAACGTATGTTGATATCCAAACCCCCCCCACCCCCCCCCCCCCCCCCCCCCCCAAAAAAAAGAACAACAACAACAAAAAAAAAAACAAAAAAAAAAACACCACCACCAACAAAAAATCCCCAAAACCCAAAACAAAACAAGTTCATTCAATACTATCCGATGAGAGATGTTCCAGTTTACAAAAATAAAATAATTCCCACAATAATGTTGATAAGTTTTTCTGGTCCTTTGGGATCATTAATTCCAGCACCTTAGTGTTGAAGATTGAATACTTAGCTTGAGCCGGTGCTAGGGTGTGTGAAAGACGTTTCACTGAAAATTATACATTATTTCTCAAGCATCCGCGCAGTCTGATCAGGATCCATGCTGTTCGCTATCAGTTTCTCTACTTGTAATAGAGTTGGTAAGCGAACAGCATGGATCCTGATCAGACTGCGCGGAAGCGCAGGCTGGTCTGGATCCATGCTGGTCGCAAACCCATTGTGTTGGTTTTGTCGTGACGCGGCTCATATTATTCTTGGTTTTTCTAATTGCTTCCGATGGTTCGCACTTTTCAAGATTTTTTTTACATATGCAATTTTAATAAGTCTATATACTCTTATAAAGAGAATAGTTGTTCTCACTTATAAGTTTCTAGTCCGTAGAAATTATTTGTTAGAAGTTAGTAAAATGGTAAAAAAAGAATAAATACAACGTTATATTTAAGCCAAAATAGGTATAACCTAGCTATACAAGTCAAGTATATCTCATTAAAAAAAACAACATAACATCCTTATAGATACCTCTGCCCCACTAGAGAAAACAACAACAACAACAAAAAGAACAACACCAAAAACATAAAGAAATTAAAAAGTTTTGATCCCATAAACACAAGTGAATAAAGAAATAATTCACATATCATTTTGAAATTTAGCGCTTCAATTTTAGAAACTATGGAAAGATCTTTGCGTCGAAATTACATGTTTGCTATGGTATTTACAAAGGAACGAAACATGCTTATACAAAGGGAATGTGAGGAAAGTTGCTCCAATTAATATTGCAGATCTGCTTGTGTCGGCCTACTCAAGTTTCGTCTCAAGCATTTTACAGTAAATCAATCAGACACATTTGGGGCTAAAAGTTTGGATTCCTAAATCGCTGCTTAAAATTATACGGTCTTCAACTTCAAATATATTAGCGTTTTCTAATTTAAATGCGGCCAATGAAAGAAAGAAAAAAATATGCCATTTTTTTTCAACGAAATTTTGAAATGTTTGTGTGCACTTGTGTTATTGCTGAAATTGGCGGGTCTGCTGGCGCGTAGAACATATTTATCCTTCCGCCCAGAAATGAGGTCTTAAATAAACACAAAGCATCTTACAACCCATTAGATATGAAACGTAAACTACACGGATGCAAAAATACACTAAAATATGATTTTTTAAGAACTATTTTCTAGACTTCAACAGGACTGGTCGGGCCTTATTCCGTACTAGGGTGGCAACTACTTGTTCAAGGGAAGTGGTGGTCTAGTAGTTAAGATTTCTGCCTCTCAACCCAGGGATCATTAGTTTGAGCCCTACACGGGTCATGACCATATTTCTTCATATGACAACAGTACTGGTTGTTTCCAGAAGCGGACTCGAAAGTAATAAATATAAGTGGCAAGAAATTGTTTCGAAATCGAGGTTAAACATAAACTTCTTGCTGCATTGGCCGTATTACGAGGTCGTTTATTGCTGAGTATCAGGGGCAGATAATCAATGCTCATTTTCCAATTAGTGCTTGCCCGTGAATTCGGACTTTTGTTTCGAAATATGCATTCTTATTTATGACGTGTTTATTTTGCATGTTTGTGAAAAGATTGCGTATTATTTTAATTGTCACCACAAAGTCTTTAACTATGAGTTGCAACTTTTGGTAAAAAATGATGCGGAAACTCAAGTTAATTCCTGAATTAATAAAACAATGTAAAAAAAATTCCCCACCTTTTAAGCTATTAATATGTGCCATGAAAATCCTGTTTAAAGCTGTTCTTTAAATGATATGAAAAAGATAGGTGACTGAGTGTAATTAATTTAGAATTCATTTCCTTAAAATACATACAGTCATTAACATCATTCTTTAGTGTGGTTAAGTCATTCTTCTGCACCGTTCCTTTTACGCACATGTCACTTTTTCGACATGTTCTTTGCAGTCAATAGTTTGATTATGTCTTATTTAATAACGGTAATTCCCCTTTCCCTATTAAAGAAAGACATTATAGGGTAACTCAGTGATTGTATTTAGACAGCGGTTGTCAATTTTTGACACTATAATATTCTCTTTAGCAAACCTACTCGCTTATTTGTTACTCTGACGCGTACAGATGCTTTATGCGTTATATTACATAAGCGCCTGTCTAACTTGGTGTCAATCGTTTCGCTCCAGCCCATCAGTTTCGCACTCGATGTTAAAAAAAATGGCGTAGTGTATTCGAGTAAAGGAAAATTATCAACTATGTTTATCAAAAACGCTGAAATAAAGTGAAAAAAAATGGGAAAAATATCTTGGAAACTTAGACATTATAGCAACGGAATTTACTTGTCTGTGATAATTTTATTATTTTTTCTAACCTTTGCGGGAGGTCAGCGATTTAACCGACGGGTAAGACCACTGTTTTATATAACTTATATAATATGCAATTATCCTTAAACGAAAAGTTTTAAATTGAAATTCTCTCCGATCCTGTTTTGTTATTTTACATTTACTTAAATTAGATAACTTAAATATACAAATATCGAAAATTTGTTTCTAAGGACAAATTGCCTCATAATATGCAAGTATTGAAAAAAATTGGTTTCTTAGCTATTGAGATTTAATTCAGAGTCCTTGCAATCCATATTTTGTAATTTTGTGTTACTTTTATTTAGCATAAAACTTACATTTGCAATTATCGAAAATTTGTTTCTAAGGAAAAAATTTTGTCTCGCATAATTGCTTACATGCGCAATTATCAAAAAAATTGGTTGCTAGGAAGATGAGTTTCAACTTGAAATCTTCTCCGCCCATATTTTATCAATTTGCGTCTCTTTTAGTTTGAAGATAACTTACATATGCAATTATCGAAAATTTGTTTTCGAAGGAAATGAGATTGGTTTTCAATGTTTTCAAATGATAATGCAATTATCGAAAACTTGTTTCTGACGGAATGAGGTTGGTTTTCAATGTTGTTTGTTTTGTTTACAAATAATTTGCTCTTATATAAAAGAAGTTAAGATGATGTTAAAATCATCCATTTTGAATTATGCACGTTAGTTAAATAAAGTAGATGTTTCCTAACTTAATGAATGCATGGGTGTCGCATAGTGATAGATACTTCAGTCTGAGTTGAATGATGGTTATATTAAAGCTGCATGTCGACAAGTGCACACTGTTAATATTAAAGCTGCATGTTGGCAAGTCTACACTGTTAATATTAAAGCTGCATGTCGGCAAGTCCACACTGTTAATATTAAAGCTGCATGTAGGCAAGTGCACACAGTTAATATTAAAGCTGCATGTAGGCAAGTGCACACTGTTAATATTAAAGCTGCATGTCAACAAGTCCACACTGTTAATATTAAAGCTGCATGTCAACAAGTCCACACTGTTAATATTAAAGCTGCATGTCGGCAAGTCCACACTGTTAATATTAAAGCTGCATGTCGGCAAGTCCACACTGTTAATATTAAAGCTGCATGTCGGCAAGTCCACACTGTTAATATTAAAGCTGCATGTCGGCAAGTCCACACTGTTAATATTAAAGCTGCATGTCGGCAAGTCCACACTGTTAATATTAAAGCTGCATGTCAACAAGTCCACACTGTTAATATTAAAGCTGCATGTCGGCAAGTCCACACTGTAAATATTAAAGCTGCATGTCGGCAAGTCCACACTGTTAATATTAAAGCTGCATGTCAACAAGTCCACACTGTTAATATTAAAGCTGCATGTCAACAAGTCCACACTGTTAATATTAAAGCTGCATGTCGGCAAGTCCACACTGTTAATATTAAAGCTGCATGTCAACAAGTCCACACTGTTAATATTAAAGCTGCATGTCGGCAAGTCCACACTGTTAATATTAAAGCTGCATGTCAACAAGTCCACACTGTTAATATTAAAGCTGCATGTCAACAAGTCCACACTGTTAATATTAAAGCTGCATGTCGGCAAGTCCACACTGTTAACATTAAAGCTGCATGTCGGCAAGTCCACACTGTTAATATTAAAGCTGCATGTCGGCAAGTCCACACTGTTAATATTAAAGCTGCATGTCAACAAGTCCACACTGTTAATATTAAAGCTGCATGTCGGCAAGTCCACACTGTTAATATTAAAGCTGCATGTCGGCAAGTCCACACTGTTAATATTAAAGCTGCATGTCGGCAAGTCCACACTGTAAATATTAAAGCTGCATGTCGGCAAGTCCACACTGTTAATATTAAAGCTGCATGTCAACAAGTCCACACTGTTAATATTAAAGCTGCATGTCAACAAGTCCACACTGTTAATATTAAAGCTGCATGTCGGCAAGTCCACACTGTTAATATTAAAGCTGCATGTCAACAAGTCCACACTGTTAATATTAAAGCTGCATGTCAACAAGTCCACACTGTTAATATTAAAGCTGCATGTCGGCAAGTCCACACTGTTAATATTAAAGCTGCATGTCGGCAAGTCCACACTGTTAATATTAAAGCTGCATGTCAACAAGTCCACACTGTTAATATTAAAGCTGCATGTCAACAAGTCCACACTGTTAATATTAAAGCTGCATGTCGGCAAGTCCACACTGTTAATATTAAAGCTGCATGTCGGCAAGTCCACACTGTTAATATTAAAGCTGCATGTCAACAAGTCCACACTGTTAATATTAAAGCTGCATGTCAACAAGTCCACACTGTTAATATTAAAGCTGCATGTCGGCAAGTCCACACTGTTAATATTAAAGCTGCATGTCGGCAAGTCCACACTGTAAATATTAAAGCTGCATGTCGGCAAGTCCACACTGTAAATATTAAAGCTGCATGTCGGCAAGTCCACACTGTTAATATTAAAGCTGCATGTCAACAAGTCCACACTGTTAATATTAAAGCTGCATGTCGGCAAGTCCACACTGTTAATATTAAAGCTGCATGTCGGCAAGTCCACACTGTTAATATTAAAGCTGCATGTCGGCAAGTCCACACTGTTAATATTAAAGCTGCATGTCAACAAGTCCACACTGTTAATATTAAAGCTGCATGTCGGCAAGTCCACACTGTTAATATTAAAGCTGCATGTCAACAAGTCCACACTGTTAATATTAAAGCTGCATGTCGGCAAGTCCACACTGTTAATATTAAAGCTGCATGTCGGCAAGTCCACACTGTTAATATTAAAGCTGCATGTCAACAAGTCCACACTGTTAATATTAAAGCTGCATGTCAACAAGTCCACACTGTTAATATTAAAGCTGCATGTCAACAAGTCCACACTGTTAATATTAAAGCTGCATGTCAACAAGTCCACACTGTTAATATTAAAGCTGCATGTCAACAAGTCCACACTGTTAATATTAAAGCTGCATGTCAACAAGTCCACACTGTAAATATTAAAGCTGCATGTCGGCAAGTCCACACTGTAAATATTAAAGCTGCATGTCGGCAAGTCCACACTGTTAATATTAAAGCTGCATGTCGGCAAGTCCACACTGTTAATATTAAAGCTGCATGTCAACAAGTCCACACTGTTAATATTAAAGCTGCATGTCGATAAGTCTATACCGTTAATATTAAAGCTGCATGTCGGCAAGTCCACATACTTAATGTTAAAGCTGCACGTCACTCCAGATAAGAAATGATTTTTTTTCTTCAAAATATCAATCTTTAGAAAAAATATCTTAATAAAAGAAATGTACACTGTTATAAATTACAAATACAGTACACATTTTGCAGACCAACACTCTTACAGGAGAGACAAATAACTTGATTGTTTACGAGAAGTGTTGCTCTAGAGAGATACGGTTTATTGTGAAGTGTTACGTGCATGTTGAGTGCTGACAAATTGCTATTGTTGTTATATTAAAGAGGATATTGATCTATAGAAGGCCTCTCTGTCGAGGTTACACTGTATTATCTATCCGAGTGTTACGAATAACATGAATTGTGCGAAATCTGACATCATTTACTATATTTATTGACTTCATTTCTACCCTTGTACCGATTAAGTAAAGGCTGAAGGCTATAAATTGGTGCGTTTTTTTGAACTATTTTCATCACCATATTCTACAACGTTACAAACGCAAAAAGGCCTATTTCTGTACATTTGGACTTATTGTTTTTATCACCATATTTCTGCTCCTTTACTAACGCAAAAAGGTCACCATCTTACTTGAGTTAATTGCCACTGAAACTGAATTTAAGAAAAAAAAAACAAAAAAAAAACTCTTTTAGGTATTTTTAAATGCAGATACCTCAGTGCTATTTTCTTATGGCTATATGCGTCTCACGTTTGCACTTTCTACACAAAGAAATATTTATTCATTTCTGAGGCTTAACGTGCCTTTAAAATCACGTTCCTAAAAAAAGTACAGACACGGTGGCGTGCTGCTATAAAAATAAAATCCGGCGATTCAATATTCATGATGTTTATTAACATTATTTGCCCTTACCGCTTTGGATTCGAATCCCGGCAGCAGGGACTTTTGATTCTTTCAGTCGAGGAAGCTATCCAGCTAGCTTGTTCTAAAAAGGTGTTCGTTCTTGCCTGAAATAATGCATGAAACGGGAACTTCTTTTGCGTTATTCGTTATCAGTTTAAAATATTTCTGTAGATCTTCTCTTCTAAGAAAATGTAATACGGTGAAACAATAAAAATGGTATTCATTTTCCACAGCAGTTACATTGCATGATACACAAAAAAGTTGTAGGTAAATCTTCCAGTATCTTCGTTTTTTCTCCTTCTTCGTTTCTTTGTTTGGTGCAATGGCCCAATGTTAACACATTTTTGGTCATTTCTCCGTGATTGGTCCACTTGACCTGGTTTCCTGGATAACCTACCAGTAATTTCCCTCGACTGAGGATCGAACCGGCGACCACTTGATTACAAATCTAATGCTCTCCCTAATGAGCCTACCGGACGGGCTCTTCCTTCTTCAATCTTCAACCTATGAGAAAAACATCTAAAAAAAAGAAACGTGAATTTTGAAATACTTACATAATTATCTAAAACGATCCACCTAAAATGGAAAAGTCTGCAAAAGATTATGTAAAATAAACGCAGACTTACATGGAAAATTGATTTGTGATTTGAGTGAAATGCGTTGCACGCTTTCATTTTTGGTCATTTTGTACAATAAAAATCATTACTCCCGGAAAACAGAGAGAGAAGAATGATCTGAAATTTTGCACAAAAGTAATTAGCCCAGACCTATATCAAATGATACTCAAGTTTTAAAAAATATGTCCAGTCCCTTTATGTAAAAAAAACCCAGTGGAGTCCCTTTAATGTATGCTCTTCAATGAAGAAAGTTATTGTTTATTTATTTCCACGCCAACTGACCAATACATATATAGAGAACGGGAAAACTACGGCGACCATTCTACTGAGTATGGCGGAAGTGTTTACTTTTTTAAGTTAAA